CTTTGGTAAATGTATATTTTTTGAGATTTTTTTTGCTTAATTTAGAGCTGTACTTATTTTATTTAATTATATGAATAATTACTAAATTTTATATTTTTTAAAACGACCTACATTTAACAACATTTTGCGTAACTAGCAACAACTTACGTGATTTCTGCATATTTATAAAAGTTAGAAAAATTACGTGTTTATTTTTATTACATTGAATATATTAACTTATTTACATAGTTACACTATTGTATTTCACACTAATTTATTTTGCAAATTAAATTGTTATTGTCACGTTTCAAATTTAATTTTTTTAATTAATTGCTATATTTTATAGAGATCTTAAACCAAACGAATAACTTATTTTGTAACGACAAATAAATGATTTTTTTTCTCATAAAGCTAGTAATAAACAGTATTATTTATTGCAAGGAAATAAAGAAGTTTTAGATTCAAATGCTTGAATTATGCAATGTTATTCATGCTTGTTTTATGTAATACAAAAGTGCTCAATAATCCATTTAATGCGTTTCACATATACAAAAAAGATCAGTAAAATATATAATAAATTCAAAAATAAAAATTGAACAATATTGTGCTAATTAGTTAATTTTGGATCATAAATAATATCGATTTTACATTCGATTTTTAATGCTTATGGCATAATGTAGAGTACTATATATTTTTTGAGTGTAAAGATTTAAATATGTTTTCCTCGTGATTATATTATAATTTATTTTATATTTGCCTCGTGATTTTTTACAAAGATATTGTTATTTTTATGAGATGTTTTTAAAAATTTGCATATTAATGTTGACTTCGACAAAATGTGCTCGAACATGCAACGATGTTCTTTCTGATTTACACGGTTATTTAATTTAAATGATTATAATTAAAGTCACTTTGAATCCATTCATTCCCCTTTCATGAATGAATTAAAATAGCGTGATATACTATGTGTTGAAATGTCCATTTAAATTCTTTTATAATTTGGGTAGAAATATTAATTTAAAAAATAAGAAAAACTGACTTATTTATTATGTGTTTGACACACATTGATTATTAAAAACAGAAAAAAATTAATAGAATTAAAAGGCATATATTTTTTGTATATGAAATATGATGAAAAATGGTATATACGTTTTCTATATCAACAAGTTTCTTGAACAGAAAACATTAGTCATAGATAATAATTTTGCTTTAACATTTTAGAGGAAATGAGCATAAAATTTAGCAATAAATTCCTAAATACTATTTACTATTTAAAATTATCTTTCTATGCTAGTTTTCATTAAATAGCTTTATTTATTCCTAGAACTAATCAAATCAATTGAAGTTTGAAGGTATTTTATAATAGGATTATGTGCGATTATGTGTTATCATATAATTATTTTTACTAGAAGGTATGACTAATGTTTTGACGTTCAAAAATGTAGATAAGAAAATTTCTGCGTCTTTATTATTTTACAATATTTACTTTTTACTTTTGTTATGTATATATATATATATATATATATATAATATATATATATATATATATATATATATATATTATATAATATACCGTCAACTGTATAATAATTAAACTAGGTGAATAATTTCTTACAAAAGTAATCCAAAAACACAATTCAGTATTCTTTAGAATATTTAACTTAAGTCTTCACTTTAAAATTCAGTATCCCTTTTTTAATTTTTTTTTACTGTTTTTGAAATTATATTTGCGTTCATGAAGTAAATAAGTTCGCAATCTGAGCATTTTATCTGATAAACTAGGTTACTATTATTAATACATTTATTCTTAAATTGTTAGAAATTTTTTACCTAATTTAATTATTATAGTCGACAGTATATTCCACTGAAGGTTAAGATGTTAGTCGAAACGTATGGATTTCAAATAAATTTTTAAAAAACATTCATAATTTTTATAATTTAATAATTTTTATCTGTAAAACTAACTGATATATTTATAGATGTTGAAATGTATGATTAACTTCTTCGAGGGCGTAACATCAAGTAAAAAATAAATAAAGTAAAGATTTTTAAAACATCTATAATTTTTGTATGTATTTCATATGTATAAGTGTTAATCTAAGAATTTCAACTAAGTAACGCTTTCTGTTTTTTAAATTTAAGATTTAGATATATATAGTCTTTCTTTTTAGTTAAATTTCTTTCTTTTTTTATTCTTACTCTGTTTATATTTAGTTTTATTTTAGTTTTAAATTGTAGAACCACTGATGATGACGTAGAATTTTACGTCGAAACAAAGGGAAAAATAAAGACGTTTTAAAACTCTTGAGAGGGATATTACTTAACTCAAAAATCTGATGGTACTTCTGCTTGATATCAAGCTGGCCGGAGTTAAAAATAACTCTTGATATATGAACCCTTTTTTAAAATATCAAAACAATATAGGTACTGAGCTTGCACTCAGATACCAAAAATTGCTTGCGCAAAAAATACAGAAAAAGAAAACATTTATCAGAAAAAAATCTCATAAAGGTCTTGACCCAATTTTTAAGGCGTAACTTAAAAATATAGTAGCAGTAATTGTAATAAAATAGTTTTTATATGCGCCTATAGGCCCACTTAATAAAAGTATCATGTTCTCAACTATATAAATTCTTTTTTAGGTGCAAATCGATAGTTTCGGGTACTTGTGATAATAGGTGTCGTCTGTAATCAAACAACCAACCACGTCGGCATTAATCAGCTGATAAGGCGTAGATGTCATCGGATAAAATATATTTTGAAATTTAGTCATTGTCGAAACAACTTGTGAAACTTCTACACAATGTGCGACTGTCTTAAATCAGTATTCTGTTGGTAAGTTTTGAATATATTATTGAAATAATATGTGGTAATATTTATTAGCAATATTTTATCATTTGCAATGTGTCGTATGTATTCAAAATATTTATTCGTGATCATAACTATATTTATTTGTTTAAACGCATGAGAATTTTTAAACATTTTGAATTCCATTTGCATGAGTATACGACAAAATCAAAATGCGTTTACCATGATTAATCGAGGAAATTTGTCATTAGTGATATTTACAAATAAGCTCCTGCAACTCCTTAGTTTTATTTTAAAATTGTTATTATAGAAGACAAAATAATTGTATTTGATATGTCTAACGATTGTTTTCAATTTAATATAAGAGACTTCCTATGTTCTTTTGTATTAGCTTCAATTTATCTGTTTTCGTAGGTGTTTAATTTTCCTTGATATGGATCACATGTTTTATAATTTTTTTACAAAATAAAATTTTATGTGAATATATCCAACACATCAAATATAACAAATTACCAATAAAATAATATAAATGTCTTCGATGCTGCCATAAGGCGATAATAATTAATTTTATCGTGCTAAATAATTTGTGTTCGTGATAACAATTTTGTGCAAATACAATTCAGATGTTGCATAATTATAGAATTTTATGTTAAAATGTTTTTGAGCATATATTTATTTAAATATGTATATACTTGTACTAAAATGATTTTAAGATATTAATAATTTGATTAATTTGCATTTGTAATTTTTAAAATATGTTCATTATATCAAAAATGTTTAAAGTACCTACTTTAAACTAATGAATTATTCTAGATTTTATTTAATTGTTAATCCAATTAATCCGAATATGTCAAATGATAATGATTTAATATTTCTTAAAATAATAGTATAACTATATTATCATAAAATTTTGTTTTTACACAAAATTCTTCAGAATATCTGAGTACTTATGTATCCCATAAATGTACTTACATTTATGGGAGTCAAAGTTAAATTAATTTATCAGCCAAAAATGTCAACGCACTCTGTAAGTGATAATAACTCGTTTTTTAAATTAACACTAATTAATGTGTTTTCATTTGAACTTTGGCAAATTTGTTGGATCTCCATTTGATAATTTCAATATTTAATATTTTACCAGTACTATTACGATTCAAACTTTGAAGTTCAAAGTAATTATACAATTAGCATTACATCTTTGAATAACATTCATTAAAATATTAATAGTCTTTTCAACTTTTAGTTGAAAATATGTTTAAATATATTGATAATATTGATCATTAATAAAATAAAATTGTAATATATTTTATATGATGATTCTAATTTTATAAATAATTTTCAGCTTATGCAACTTGAGTATGAGCATATTATGCTGTTTGGGCGTAGTTGGTGTACTAATTTTGGCAGCAATTGGTGTAGGACTATACTTTGGCCTTAAGGATGGACCACCTGATCATTAATAGTTTAAGGTATTTTTATGCAACATTAACAAAAATAGTAATTACAAAACTGCTTTGAATTCTTAAATCAATTCTAAAATCTATTATCTACCAATATTTTTGTTTCAGATTCATACAAACCAGACACGCAAAATCATAATCTCAATATCGCGATCATTATAGTTTAAGGAAATTATAATATTCATCATTATCAATAAATATATGCTACATAATAGTTTAATCTTTGTTATATATGTAAAGTTCTAGTGTAACTCAAATACTTTAATTTGTTCTAAAAAAAGTATGTATCTCAAATATTGCCAAGTCGATGCAATATAATGTATTTTGATAAATAAAAAAAAATATTTTTGTGTAACTCATGCTCGTTATATTCATAATAACAGTTAAGTTAGATTCAAGCTAAAAAAATTGTTTCAGAGTTAGATACCAATCAACGAGATTCAAGTTAGAATATTTTTACAAACTCATAAAATGAAGATTTTAACGAGAATTTTGAAAGAGTTTAGCAAGATTTCTGTTAAAAACAAGTCAGATTCAAGTTAGATTAGTTAGATTGTTTGATTCAAGTTAGATTCAGATTGAGAATAAATATTTCTAATATAGATTAAAAGGTTATTTAAATAAAAACTTTGAAAAAGATAAGGTTAATATATATTGTATACGGTAATCGATAGTACATACATTTTTTGTTATAACTCTTACCTGGTATGGCATTTGTCTAAAGTGAATGATATATTTGGGAAACTTGTACAAAATTATTTTGTAAGAACATATGTAAAAATATACTTAATGAGTTTGACAAAATTCTAATTTTTAATGTTGCTGCTAATGCAAAAATATTTTTTTGGATTTTTTTGACAGAAGATACCATAGTCTTATAGATCATACTAAAATATTGCGGTCCTGGGATAAGTCGTTTAATTTTAAAAATTCGTCAAAGTTTCCAAAATTAGTATTGTTTTTTTGGCATTTGTCAAAATTAGACCTTTCATCGACGTTTGCTTAAAAACGCTCGAACCGATTTCAGAAATTTAAAAGCCATTTGATGTATTTCAATGAGGACTATCGTTTGTGCTACAATCTGCCAAGCCGTTTCTTTGTTATTTGGAAAAAAGTGTTAAACTTTCGTCCACATTTAAGCTCATACTACCGAATCGATTTGAAAAAATCAAACAATGTTAGAAAAATATTACTTGGGAATGATACTGATTATGATAAGATGATAAAATTCCTTAACAGAATATTAGTCAAAAATAATGCTTTTTAGCACTTAATAGTTGAATAGAATATTTTCGCAGGAATCACATATGAAAATTCCAATAAGATTCTTATCGAACATTTTTGGTAGGATTTTTTTGGCTTAGATTTTTAGATTTATAACCACGAATTTCATTGAATAAAATGTATTAAAGTATATAGGGGATACACACAAGTTTTCTACCCAATACCCTTACAAAAACACTCTTACAAGGTCGTAAGAATATATCAATATATTTTATATTAATCAGCATAATATAGAATATATGCGGCAAAAAAGAATTTTGGCCACCAGGCCTCCTATTATTATAGGTATGCCGACAGGCTGACGAAAGAAGCTGTCGGCTGTTGCCTTGGAAACCTCGATAACGCAGAGTCTACTATTCGCCCTCATATGGGGCTCGTGCCGACTTCAACACCAGACCCAAGTACCCCCAGCGGATAAATCGAATGGATTTGCACTTTGAGCAATATTAAAGAAAGAAGTAGTCAGAGAAAAAATAGAAAAAAAGAAGAAACACGAACGATTTTTTTTATTTAAACAAATAATGCGTTTGCGGTGCAGAATATATAAAGAACATAAGTAAAAAAAAACAGTAGTTCAATTGAGGATCAAGTACTTAGGTAAAATGTTCAACTGGTATTTCGGAAATAAAATTTTCCCGAGCACATATGATTTCCAAATGATGTCTTTCAAATATACTAATATATATATATATATATATAATGGTATAAATTAAATTAACTTGTTTAAAACATTTTATTTCATTAATTTTGGGTTCCAAAAATATATTTTAAGAAGTTTTACTGAACGTGCATGTTTTGGCGTAGATTCTGATTAGAATCTTTAAATAAATTAAAGATATTTAAAGACAGTATTTTTCTTCATTAATCATAATTTTATTTTTAAATATATATTATTAAAGACAGAATAATAGATTTTTTTTTAATTTCAATAATTATTACGACTGTTAAATTATTAACATCTAGTAATATATATTAATAAATAAATAATAACAAATTTAAATAAATAAAAGTGCAAGGGATAAAATTTAGATGAAAATAATATCCGTAATTTGATTTGATATAAAATATAAGCAAATAATAATAAAAATAAAATTAATTAATAATATAAATAAAATTTCTGAATAATAAAAGAATACTAGAAAAATAATAAAATATAACACAATAACAATAATAGAAGTAGTAAGAATAATAATAGATAGTATTAAGTTATAACAAAATACATTTTAGTAGAATATTCATATATCATTAGTGTTATATTATATTGTAAAATTTAATTAAGTAATAAAAATTAAATTAAAACAAAAATTCAGTTGTTGTACAAAGTATCATCAAGAATCTTAGGTTAATAAGCTCGTTAGAATAGATTTATGAATTAAATATTATTAAATTCAAAAATTGAAAATTATTAATTAAGTACACGCATTGTATGCATTCAATGCTGTATACAATGTTGTTCTTACTAAAGTTTTAAAAAATATAAAAATATATTTTATAAAAGTTTTACAGAACGTGAATACTTTGGTGTGGATTCTGATTAAATTAGATATTTAAAGACAGTACTTTTCTGTTCACAAACCACAATATCATTTTTAAATATATATTATTAAATACAGAATTATAGATAGTATTAAGTTATAGTGAAATACTTTTCAGTAGAAAATTCATATATCATTAGTGCTAGATTATATTGTAAAATTTAATTAGGTAATAAAAATTAATTCGGTAAAAAAAATTAATTAAAAAAACATTCGGTTGTTTTAAAAAGTATTATCAGAATCAAAAACTTATCAAGATTCTTAGATTAATAAGCTTAGATTAGCTTAGATTCTTAGATCCTTAGAATAAATTTATGAATTAAATATTATTAAATGAAAAAATTGAAAATTATTAATTAGGTACACGCATTATATGCTTAAATATTCAATGCTGTATACCATTTTGTTCTTACTAAAGTTTTAAAAAAATGTTTGTTAAAAATGAACAAAATAAACTTTTTTGAAATTTATAAAAATATATTCCTTATTTTTTTTAAATTTTATTTTCATTCTGCAATCTATAAAAATAATTACACTTAGCAGAGAATGCTGACTAGTTGTTTACAATTAATTGTCTACAAATTAGTAGATACCCCCAGTGGCGTATCTAATAGAGCTAATATATAAAAAAAAATCTAAAGACAAATGGGGAGACAAAATTTTATATACAAAACACCGTTGACCCAATTTCTATACGAAACAACGATGAATAGTTTTTCAGAAAATATTATTGAATTTCATATACCAAATAATTTTATTTCACCACTGTGATAAGTTGCTTGGAAAATACGCCTGACTTAACTCGAAAAGTTTAACGATGCAAGTGAATATATGTCGTCGAATAACAGTAATAATTCTTTTTAAGCTCTGAAATATCAAATACACACATACACACACACACACATATATATATATATCGCAGGAAAAGTTTCCAAAGTTTTTGTTATTATTACTCTTACCATAAACGTATTTTTAATTTTCCACACAGAAACATTTCATAATGTGCTCGTTCTGAGAGGCAATTAAATGACGCTGTTTTCTTTTTGTTTTTGGTTAGCGGTGGCTTGATGTTATTGCAAAAAGTTTGTGAAAAGTTTTTGACCATACTCTTCTTTGAAACGATGATAATGAAATAATGAATAACATTGGGCAAAGGAAAGAGAATTGAAAATATGAATCGGCTAGAATTGAAACGATCAGTATATGTTATAATAAGATTATTATTGGTATAAAATTTAGGTTTTTTATTATCATATTTGTATATAGAATACTAGTAATATAGAATAATCCAACGTGACTTCCTGTAATTATACTTCCCAAACAAAATATACCACGTTACAAAGCATAACAAACTATACCAAACTGTGTTCAAATAAAACTTCGGGTCAATTTCTTATTGACTTTATAATCTTGTTTAAGAAAAATAAATTATAACAAAAAAAATTCTTATTTTAAAAATATGTTCTTTGACTATTTTTCTAAAACTTGTCATTTGTCCCTTTATACTCCATCGGCGTAGTGAAAAGGTGCAATCAGAATGCTAATGTATTATTTTTAATTTTAGGAGGATATTACTTACATTATTCAACCAATGCAAAATACTAATAACCAATAATACCAATAACCAATTTCATAGGCACATGCTTCACAAAGTTGACACTATATATGCACATAACCTTGATCTGGTGTTTTGTCAGAAATATTCATCAGCAGAGTTGGAATAACTATTTATGATCATAGTTTTTATCACATATATTCATATATAATCTACAATTTGCCATATAGATATAATTGAATATTTCCATTACAATTGCAAATAATTGTCCACTACCTATGGATCTACCCAACCACCAAAAAGGTCAAATAGTGAACGCACGCATTAAGCGTATAATGTCGCAAAGCCCAAATTCACACACACTTTCCCGTATTAAGTCTAATCTCTGCGCTAATATCCAAAGCGGTACATAAATTATTCTCCAAATCTGTGCCTTAGGAGAGTTCGCCTTTACCAGACCCATCAATACAGACGGGGGCATTCCCCCGTCGTGGGGCGATTCCCACCCTCGGAATCCACTGAAGGTGGAGCCCTTGTTGACTTGGGGGGCTGATGTGGGCGTGTTTAGAAGGAAAGCTTTTGCGCATGCTTCCTGTGACGTCACGGGACGATAATCAAAAATTATGGTCAATAATGGCGTCGCCTTCGAGCTTTAAGCTGGTTTTTACCAGGAAACATAAGTTTTTTTGTAATATTTGATAAACAGTTAAATATATTATATTTATGAACTTGTAAAGAACCTATGACGATCTTGGTATACAATTTAAAATTATATTGTTGATAATATGACATATTATTTAAAACTATTGAATAAGTATTTATTATTGATTTAATATGATAAGAGTCTGCGGGTAAAAAGATCCACCACTGATATCTAAAAAACAAAATTGAAAAGTTTTTACCAAGAATATTTGAAAGTAGA